GTAATACATTCTCATTCATGACTCTAGGTTTGTTTTTGACCTCTTTGGTCCAAGTCGAGAGGACAGTTGCTGTGGATTTGTCGGACGAGAGTTTAAGATTACGATTTTCCATCCAATTGTACAGATCTTTTCAATATGGTTGGATGGTTGTTTCTAATTTTGAGACGTCAGGACCTGTGTTAGTAATGATGATGTCATCAGCATACGGTGTTGTTGGATATATTAAAAAGCTGGTTGTCTGGCAGCAGGATAACATGATCCACTGTGTCAAAGGCTGCGGTGAGATCAAGAGCTACCAAAAGCGTTGTGGCAGTTTCGGTTGGTTAATACCATTTTAATATCGGTAACAAGACAGTGCAGTGTTCTTGAATCTATTTTCCCTAAAGCCATGTTGATGGTCGGCAAATTTGATATTAATGAACTCATCTTGTAAAATTTTTTCAATTAGCTTAGCAACTAGAGACAAGAGTGCGATTGGCCTGTAACTTTTTGCCTTCTTGTTTTTTTTTCGGTTTAAGGATTGGAAATACTTTTCCAAATTTTCAGGTCTGCGGTATGATTGATGAATATAAAGACATATTTATAAGACTTGTTAAGTAGGAAAGATCCATTTCACCAATGTGGTGGAGATGGATTAGTGCTATATTGTCAGAGCCTTGAGCTTTGCTTTTATTGCTTGCTTCGACTGCATTTTCGACTACCTGTGGGAGTATATAGGATGTTTCGGGCTTACGTTTTTTCATTTTCCTTGATATGCTACGTTTAGTTTTAGTGGGCGATGGTGGATGTAGACTGAATTATTGATGAAACAGATTGGCGCATGTTTTAGCATCGTAAACTAGTTTCTTATCGAAATATGATGGCTGGTTTGACGTATGGTCTAATTGTTGCCAGACAAAGATTTAACAGTCTTTCAGAGTTTATGGCTAATACCGCGATGGTTAAGAGTGTTGACAATTTCAATCCTCTCATCACGTTTTTGTCTGTTCACAATGTCATTGATTTGCTTTTTTAGCTGGGAAATTTGAGGATCGCCAGGTATCTCGATATGGAGTTCATCTGTTTGTCAGGATAACTTGGCTGCTTCAAAGGGAAGTTTGGTTCAAAATGTTGGATGTGCGGCCATGTGGCTTCTGCCGTTTGGCAGCCTTCGAGGCAATTTTTCGGAAGGTAGCTTCTCCATGAGGCACTGCTTGGGGGGGGGGGGGTTTATTACCTTTAGTGAAGGCAAATTGAGTTGATTCCTTGAAGCCCTGCCAATCTGTGTTGTTGAAAGTACTGTTATACAAACTGAGCGAATTGATTTCAGTTGAATTCTTGTCTGATTAAAACAATTTCCCGTTTGATAAAAACAGGTATTAGAAAAATGGATGGGATCGATTTAGTTCTTAAAAACTACTCAACCGATTTCCAAAAAAATCGGTACCAATAGAAAGACCGCCTGAGATTTTAGTTTCACTAGGTAGAACGGGTTGTGGGAAGCTCCACTGCATAAGTCGTTACGCCCATTTTTTTATCAACAAGTTATGGCCCTCAGAAAAGTCCAATTTTCGATATTATGACAGTTTTTCAACTTTTTGACTTTTCTCGAAAATTACTCTGCCAAAGCTGAGAATGTAATTTCAATACGTAGAACGGGCTGTGGGAAGCTCCTCTGCTGAGCGACTACGCCCCATTTTTATTCAGAAAATCATGACTCGGAAAAGTCAACTCTTCGATCTTTCAACCGTTTTTTGAAACTTACTGAATGTTCTCGAAAACTACCCTCGCAGATCTGAGGTTAATGGGTAGAACGGTTTGTGGGAATTTCTTCTGCATAAGTGGTTCTGCATAAGTGTACCCTTCCAAATCTGAGATTTTGGTTTCAATTGCTAGAATGAGTTGTAGGAATTCCCCTGCATAAGGATCACATGGCTGAATTTTTCACAAGCTCCATTACTTCCAATTGTATTGTGCGTTGTTTGAAACTTTTGAAAATGTTTTCACTTTTTTTGAAAATTTTGTTTTTAAAACATTTTCACCGCTTTTCAAAAAAGTGTTACTAATAGAAAGTCTGCCCACTCCCCTGTCTCCCTCCCCTAGGCTTATTTCATCCTACCTCAATTTTGGTGGAAATTTTGACCCATATTTTTGGGTTTTCAAATTTTCTCGAAAACTATCCTCGCAAATCTGAGATGTAGGGTTCATGGTATAGAACAAGTTGCGAGAAGCCCCCTGCATGAGCGGCTACGCTCAGAATTTTTTAAACAAAAAATTATGGCCTTCTTTTTTTGCCATTTCAAAAGTTTTGTTTCAAAAACTACCCTCTTAAATCTGGGATTTTGGTTTTTTTTTGAACAACAGGTTGTGGGAATTTCCCCTGCGTAAGTGGTAACGCGCAATTTTTCTTAAACAATTCATTATAAACTTCGGAGAAGTCAAATTTTTCGATTTTTTGATCGTTTTTTTTTTTTGAAGTTTTTGACTTTCCTCTGAAACTACTCTCCCAATTCTGAGGTTTTAGTTTGATAGGGAAGAACACCTGGTAAGAATCTCCACTGCATACAAAGCTATGCTCAACTTTTTTTACATGAAAAGTTGTGACCCTTGGAAAAGTCAAATTTACTGTTTTTTGACCGTGTTTTGAAATTTTTTGATTTTTGTCAAAAACTACCCCTTCGAATCTGAGATTTTGATTTCAGCGTGCAGAACAAATTGTGGGAAGCGCCACTGCATAAGCGTTTATGCCTATTTTTTGTACTGATCCTCGGAAATTTCAAATTTTCAGTTTCTGGCCGTTTTAGAAATTCTTTTGACTTTACTCAAAAACTACCCCTTCAAATCTGAGGTTTTGGTTTCAATGGGTAAAACGGGTTGTGAAAAGTTCCCAGAATTAGCGGTCACTAGGCTGAATTTTGTGCGTTAATTGACAGGGCACCAAATATGCGATTGCGCCCAAATTTCTTCAAACAAAAAGTTATGACCCTCGGAAAACTCAATGTTTTGATTTCTTGTACGTTATGAAACTTTTTGACTCCTTTCGAAAACAACTCAATCTAGGGTTTAATCGATGCAAGAAATTGTGGGAAGCCTTAGTGCATAAAATACTACGCCCTGTAGTTTGTTCAAAAACAATTATGTCAAAATTCAAAATCAAAAAATCTGCACTTAATAGAGAAGTAACTAGGTTTTGGGTGAAGTACAATGTTTTAAGTTTTCTAAATACCTATTTCATGCCAAATCAGATTAACAAAATCAAAAATTATCAAACAGGTACCTCCAGCTTAAGCTAGGCCTCTAATAATGTGGCAGTTTTTTTGGAGCTGAAATTATCATTTAACGCCTCGTAATTTAAGCCCGGGTTTTTGTTTACGCAAACGGTGCGTAGTGTATAATAACGAAAAATTTCTTTTTATAACCTCAGTCACAAATAAAAGTGCTCATTTGCTGGCACTTTTGGTATATTCAATTCTGATTTAAGCACAGTCAATTTTATGTTTAATAGCATATGTTGTTGCTTTAATTTTGGCTAGAGTTAGGTCCTAATTGAAAAAAAAACAGGTATTATGAGAATGTATAGGATTTGTTGTTTTGTTTTTGTGACGCTTTGGAAAGTTTACGAAAGTTCAATTTGTCTCAGAATTTACTGTACCTACTTTCGAAAAAAAATGTTACTACTGGAAAAACCGGATGCTCTACTATGTGCCTGAGTATTTCGCTAGTCTCTTTTCTATTCGCTAGCCTTCGAAATTTTTAGTAGGGGGATTTTGACCTATTTTTTAGAAATTTTTTCCTCTCAAATTTGAAGTGCACAAACCTGAGATGCAGCTTCCAATCAAAAAAAATGTTTCATGGGATTTCTGTTTAAGCGGCTATTTCTTGAATAGAAAAAAAGCTATGGCCTCAAACAAGATCATTTTTTTGACACTGGGTATATTGTTAATCGGAGTTTAAGGCCAACATTCAAACCAACATGATGCTTAGTTTTTACCTGCGTAATCTGTTTCAACCTAATTTTTTGTAGAAAAGTCGATACGGACTTAGGGATAATCTGTTTTGAAATTTTTACGCTTTTTAGAAATTTCATCACTATTCACGGAAACTACTAGCTAAGTGTGATATTAAGGGTCAATTTACAAATCAGGTTGTGCGAATTTTCACTGCATAAGAGGCTATTTCCATGCTTAAGTAGAGAAAACTTTTTGTATTTAGGAACAGTCGTATTTTTTATCGTTTTTTTGAATGTTTTTCACTTTTTCGAAAACTACCACGAGTAATCTGAATTAAAGATTTCGTTTCAAAGCGCGAGTAATAGTTTTCTCCTTAAATAAGCCTCTACTTATGCAGGGAAATCACTAGGATTTTGCGTAAAGTCCATTTTTTGAATGAGCATTTCCATATCAGTACAAAATATGGTTAAAATATTAAAACCGGTAGAGCCAGCCTTAGCTGGGCCACTAGCTTATTTCCAAACGACCGTGGCGCAGATTCGAGGACGTGAGACCCTTAATCAACAGGTTGGAGATTCAAATTCGGAACATTGAATTAGTTTTTTTTTGCTAGAATTTTTGCTGATTTATTGGTGGCTAGTGTAAGTAAAATTACAAGCGGTCGTGGAGCAGATGCGAGAACGTGATACTTCTAGTCTCAAATTTGATGATCAAAGTTTGTTCTCAAGGTGTTTTGTTGTTTTTCGAAACATTTTTCTTCAGAAACTGTGTTCCAATTGGCTTATTTGACTATGATTGTCGAATATGCTCAGTTTCTTTCTTTTTTCGTTCAGAACTTTTTATCGCGCCAAACAGAAAAAACGACACCAATTTGAAAATATTTTTTTGTGTGTTTTTCTATGACTAGGGTCTGAACATTCTGTGCTATTCGCATAGTAACAGGCTATCCTTGTGTTTTTTGGTATTTCATTTTTTCCTTTTTCACAGTTTTTGTCTGAATGTTTGTATATATGTTATCTTGTCTCCGAAGTGCGTTGTATCTTTCAATTTGGTTATTTGTCGTTGTTTCAGTTGCTCGGAGAACTGCTTTTGGATAGACATAACTTCGCAGTTATGACGAAGTACATCAGCAGCGTCGAGAACCTGAAACAGATCATGAATTTGTTGAAAGACAATTCTCGCAGCATACAGTTCGAAGCGTTCCATGTTTTCAAGGTAACTTTTTTGTTGTTTCACTCTTGTGCTAGTAGCAATGCAAATATTTTTTGTCTGGACTTATTGTTACTGTTTCAGCAAATCCTACCTTTCTTGACTTGAGTAATCTCTCAAAGAAAACTTTTGATGTCTTAGATTATCATGTTGAGTTTAGGTTTTTGTGGCTAATCCGAACAAGACCAGAGAAGTCAATGATATTTTGGTGCGAAATAAAGACAAGCTGATCGAATTTCTATCTTCATTTCAAACAGGTGCGTCACTTTGACTTACTTTGAGAAACATTTTAAATTTACGAAGAAATTATGGGATAATCAACATGTTTGCAGACAGTCAAACGTTGCCAAATTTTATGGTTTGATGACGTGATTTGCAGTAGTTGTGCTAGGTGTCTTTTTGAGACATTTTAATTTGAGACTATTTGTTTGATTTAACATAACATGTTGAATGAAATGTTAATTGTTCAGATCGTCAAGAGGAAGACCAACAGTTTTTGGACGAGAAAACCTACCTGATCAGACAAATTACTCAGATGAGCTGAGCAAATGAATTGGAAGAATTCCTGAAATATGCAATCCAGGGCAATCTCCTTGCCCATCAAACTCGCTAATTCGTCTGATTCGATCGAACCACTGATCATCTACAGGGCTGGGAAAAAGTCTAATCTACATCTTTTTTTTTGTGTCTGAAAAATATGAGATAAATACGTTTTTTTTTGGTCTTGTTATCTGAATAAAGCACTCCCATCCCTGATTATGTACCTCAAATGAAATTAATTGAACCGCAACGCTGGCAATTGTTTATATGTAATGAATGTATTGTGACTTATAAAAGGTAACTTAAACTGTAAATGCTTTACCATACATACTATTATCCTTAGTTTGACTGGCTTTCAATCTATTTCATTTGGACATGAGCGTAAATAAATAGATTAACATTCGCGTTTATTAGATTCATTTTCAAATAATTCAATAATTGTACCATGTCAGTCAATTCAATCCTCATGACCAAACCAACGTCAACTAAATATAAACTTCGAAATTCTAAACTTAGATGAAATAGAGCTAAGTAAATAATTAGTCGGTCGGTATTTTGGACCATGTGAAGCAGTTCTGCGGTCTAAACTTTTTCGCCCAGATTTTGTCTTTGTCGCTAAATTTCCACTTCCCGAACTCATGCAAAATCCAAAGAAACCTTGCATGTGATTCACTCAAGTAAAGACCGTTAGTTACCATTTTTCACGGAATTTTCTATACAATTTAAAAGATATCAATACCAGAGGTGTTAAAAAGACATTAAAAGAATTTCTCTTTAAAGTATTCTCTTTTTTTTCAGTGTTAAAATAAATAATAACGCTTGCGATTAGTAAGCATTAGCAAATCGGAATATAGACTTTTTCGGGTTAGCAACTTGTTTAACAGAATCACTTGTATCTTGGTTGATAATAAATTCAAACTTCAATGAGTGTCCGACACAGCCTGGAAGTGAAGAAAACGCCTGAAACGCTCAAGGTAATTGGTTCGAATCTGACCAGCATCTTTTTTTTTCAAACTGGAAATATCCTTTCCAAAAAATGTCCGTCACTGTTTGTCTGCTTATGTTTTGTCGGCTTAGTTGCCCTATTGTAGAATTGATTTTTTTCCCGTAATTTTCAATGTAGTTGCGTTTAACCGACCTTCGAAAAGGGAAATGGTGCAAAAAAAACAAACGATTTCGTTTGGAAAGTTAATTTTAGTTTTTCGATTTCCCAGCGGAATGAAAAAGTCACCTTTGATCCAATTCTCTCAATTTGGTTTAGTTTTATCAGCCTTGCGTTCATTGACACTTTTGCAGTTTTGTTATAATATCGTTAGTAGTTTTCATATCCTGCAAAAACTTATTTGATATTAATATAATTTCACTGTCAAAGTTTGATGGTGACCGTTTCTTTCGATAATCGCGAAGAATAAATCCCGCCCGACTGAATAGCCTTGATGCCAACATTGATATTCCTGAGACACAATCCAGCTTCGAGAAGACTCAATTTGAGAAATTTTGGGCTCATTTCAGCCCAATAATTTTCGTTTTTTCTTAAAACGACCATTTAAGTTCTCAAATCGCGAATTTTGGGCTGGTTTTTTAATCGCCAATTTAAATTGAGAAAGCATAGAGCTATGTCACGTTTCTTGACAGGAGTCTTGATGTAAAAAAAAAACGAGCTGCAAGCACCTCGTGTATTACAAGTTATGGTAAAAATATGGAAAAATGAACGGTTCCTGTGGTAAATGTCAGTAAAGGTGGCTAACCGCAAGCAAAGAAAGAAAGAAAGAAGAATTTATTTCTTCAGACAATTAAATGCAAAAATACAGAAAATGAAGAAACACATTTTTAATAGTCATCATTGAATTTATCTGACATTTTGTATAACATATCTGAAGAGGATAGACCAAGGGCATAATAATTGCCCGCTTAACGTCTACCCTGGTAGTAAAAAGACACGAAAAGTATAATAACTATAAATAAAAAGTATTTAAGAAAAAAAATGAAAATTTTTTCAATTAGTTTTTATTTCCACTCCTTTCGAAAACATTTTTTTTTCGAGAATTTATTTAGATGATCCGGATCATGATTGCAGCTTAGCTTAGTGAGCATCAGTTAAAACCAAGGATCGTAATAAAAATTTGATTTTTTTTTTCTAAGTAATTTTGGAAATTTCGTTTTTTTCAAAAAATGCGATTATCTCGAAAACTACAAGGATTTGGAGCTTCATTTTTTCTGCATGGATTCGCAGCCCATAATTGAAGTCTGATACAGGTTAACCAAAGGGTAAAATTTTTGGAAAATAAAAATATGGTACTATTGATTAGACATGCTGTGATTATTTATCGAAAATAAAATTTGTTAACTCATTATTTCCTAAAATGTATAAATACTTTAATTTGTGAGCTACCGTAAGCACCTGACTTGCATTTAGAGACTGCGAATTAATTGGCATAATTCCGTTTTCCTTAAAAATATTAAAAAGTTTGGTTCCCCGTTTAGTTAAAGAGTGGTTTTCTATTTGGGATTTTGGCTTACATATTTTCAGTAAATTCTTTTCCGATCGTCTGGATCTTTTGATAGAATTATCAAAAGTATAGAGCGAGTTGAGATAATTTTCTGAATGCAGGTTCGATAGTGACCTTAATAGAAACTTGAAACACTCATAAATATACAATTCATGAACTGTAAGTATTTTGTGCTTAACAAATATATCTGACACGCTTTCGCAATTGTTTCGAAAAGAACTGAGTCGGATAATTCTTTTCTGTAATTCAAAAAGCGGAAGTAATGCATTGTAGCTTGTGCAACCGTACACTAAAATTCCATACTGAATGATAGACCTAATGTTTGATTCATAATACCTAAACATAACAGAGCTCGGCACGTAATGCCTTGTTTTAGCAATTATTCCACATTGTTTTCGTAATTTTTTTTCTGACAAAATCAATATGATTAGAAAATCCTAGTTTGAAATCAATGTTAATACCTAAGTATTTCCAATATATTTCTGACGATAAGTTTTTGCCATCATATAATATTGTTTCATTAGAAGCGCTTTTCCTAGTGAAATTTATTTGAACTGTTTTTTTCATGTTAAGTGAGAGCCTATTAGCGGCAAGCCATTTCGCAACTACATTAAAGTCATCACTCAGTTTTTCGAGTGATCGATCTATTGCTACTAAAGTGGTATCATCGGCAAACAAGTATACTTCCGAGTTATTGACAACGTTTGGTAGATCATTGACATATAAAAGAAAGAGAAGTGGACCTAAAATGGATCCTTGTGGAACGCCGCTGTTCATTGTTCGAAAATTTGATCGCACACCAGATATCTCTACACATTGTTTACGATTTGACAAATAGCTCACTATCCATTGTAGACATTTACCTACAAGACCATAATATGGCAATTTTTTAATTAAGATATCATGATTTAGGGTATCAAAGGCCTTCTTTAAATCAAGGAATATTGATGGAATGAATTTCTTATTTGAAAGGCGCAATTTTTCGGTAACCTCGGCGATGGCATCAATGGTATTGTGTTTGATTCTGTATGCAAACTGTTTACAGTATATGAAGTTAAATTGCTCTAAATAATTATATATTCGGTTGAACATCACACTTTCGAAAATTTTACCTAACGTCAAAAGCAAAGCAATTGGCCTGTAATTGTTTAAATCTAATTTGGATCCATCCTTGTGAAATGGCAGTATTTTTGCTTGGGATAACTCGGTGGGAAAGATTGCTTGCTTAATGGAAGCATTGATCAGTATTGTTAAGCTTGGTATAATTGCATACGCACATGCTTTCAGAATATTATTACTAACATCATCTAGCCCTACGGAGGCTTTTGATTTCAAATCGGATAGAATTGAAGCAATTTCGTTTTCATTAACTGGTTTTAGGTATATTGATACAATTGGCTCCTTAATTCTAATTTCTAATTCAGGAGTTGATAACTGTTTCACCAATTTATCTGCAATTTGTCCAAAAAAGTTGTTGAAGTCGTTTGCAATTGTCTGTGGATCTGTATGCCTATCGCCACTTTCTTTAATAATATCAGTGACATCTCTATTACTTCCATTCGATCCTTTTAACATATTTAAAAATTTATATATAGGTCTAGAGTCGCCAATACATGTTTGAAATTTCTTCATATAAAAGTTTTTCTTAGAGCTTCTGATTTCTGATCTAACTCTGTCATTTAATTCCTTATACCGCAGCTTAATCAAGTGATTATATTTACTTTGCACCAATAAATGATGCTGCTTATTTCTTTTAGTGATGAGGTTTTTAATTTTATTTGATATCCACGGAGGACACTTGGTGGTTTTATTAACTTTTTTGATCATTGGGGCAAATTGGTCCAAAAGTTTAATAAGCGTTTTGTGAAACCTTAAAAAAGTTTTATTTACATTTTCATTTTCCTTCAATGATAAATTGTTAATTTCATGCAGTAAAACGCAGTTGAAATTTTGAACCTTCTCCGCACTCTTTAGAAAAGACGTATCTCTTACCAGGATTGCTTCATTATCATTATCTGAACTGTCTTTATTGAATTTCATTATAACCGGATAATGATCTGCAAAATTTTTATGAGTTAACACACTCACAATTGAATGACTAACATTTGTAATAAAATGATCTAAACATGTTTCTGAATTTTCTTCAACCCTTGTGGGTGAAAAACTTAAAAGACTGAATCCATTTGATTCGATTGCATCGATGTATTTAGCTGTTGCTGAATTATGTTTCTTAATATCTATATTAATATCTCCACACACAATGACTTCACAATTTAAGTATTGCATGCTCTCCAATACTTCATCCAGTTTTTCAATGAACTCCAATTTGTTATTCCTTGGTGGGTTGTATATCACCAGGAAAATTACTTTGTTTCCTCTTATTTTCAGTTCTAGCATAAGGCTTTCATCAATGGAGCAATCCAAAACTTTAATTATTTTAACTTCTTTTAGTGAATGAAACAAGATTCCTCCTCCTCTTGTTGGCCTGGGCTTGGTTACAACATTGTATCCACTTAACTTATATAGTTTTTCATCATCCTCTTTATCTAGCCATGTTTCAGTGGCAGCTACTATATTAGGCGGTGACTCCAGATTATATACTAGCGCTTCTAATTCTTCGCTGTGTTTTTTTAACGATCTAGCATTTATAAGTAGCACACTAATTGGCATTGTATCAATTTTAGCACACGCTTTTTTCAATTTTGGTTGTTAGTTAGTTACAAAGCATTGCTCTAGATCAGCTAATTGATACTTCAATTTCAACCCTCCCTCAAACAATCCCTTGATGGTCTGCACCCTTGAATCTCCAGCTAGTTTGTAGTTTATTGTTCCCTCTCTTGTACATACATTTTCAGTTCTCGTATCTGTCTTCGTCATATTTAAAAACTTCACTCTTGCCAGTGTTAGATCCTCAAATACTCGTACATTTTTCAGTT